TTGATTCTGAAGGTGGTGATATATATGGATCATATCAGCCTACTTACACCTATGCAATCATTGTGCAGGAAGTAGAAAGAGAAGATGATGAAAGCCCCAGTTTTCTAGGGAAGATTTACCAGATTGATATTGGATATAGTGAGTATAAAATAGTGAGCTCCCTTGACTTGTACAAATTTTCCAGACCAGAAGAAAGTTCTCATGGCAGGGATAGCACACCTTCTACCCCAACTAGTCCTACAGAATTTCCAGCACATGGACCAAGGGCAATTCCACCTATCTTCACTGGTAGAGACAGTCACAAAACAATGTCCTCAAAACACCACTCCCCAAAAAAGATAAAGTCAAACTCATTGCCAGAAATATTAAGAGAAGTGACGTCTGTGATTGAACAGGCTTGGAAGCTTCCAGAATCTGAAAGAAAAAAGATTATTAGGAGGCTGTATCTTAAATGGCATCCAGATAAAAATGCAGAGAATCTTGATATAGCTAATGAGGTTTTCAAACATTTACAGAATGAGATTAATAGGATGGAAAAACAGGCCTTTATGGATCAAAATATGGACAGAGCCTCAAGGAGACCATTTTCATCTTCTGCTTCTCGATTTCAGTCAGATAAATTTTCATTTCAGAGATTTTACACTTCATGGAATCAGGAAGCAACAAGCCACAAATCAGAAAGGCAGCAGTATAAAGAAAAATGTCCCTCCTCCACAGGGCCATCTTACTCCCAGCGCTTTTTTGTCCCACCTACGTTCAGGTCTGTTGGCAATCCGGTGGAGGCACGTCGATGGCTTAGGCAGGCCCGAGCCAACTTTTCAGCTGCACGAAATGACCTTCATAAAAATGCCAATGAATGGGTGTGCTTTAAGTGCTACCTTTCTACTAAACTAGCCTTGATTGCAGCTGACTACGCTGTGAAGGGCAAGTCGGACAAAGATGTAAAACCAGCAGCCCTTGCACAAAAAATAGAAGAGTACAGTCAGCAACTTGAAGGACTTTCAAATGATGTTCAGACATTGGAGGCTTATGGAGTAGATAGCTTAAAAACGAGGTATCCTGACCTACTTCCTTTTCCACAGATTCCCAATGACAGGTTTACTTCAGAAGTTGCTATGAGAGTGATGGAATGTACTGCTTGCATCATAATAAAACTTGAAAACTTCATACAACAAAAAGTATAAATGATTTGAAGATGTTAGGGGACTGTTTTGTCAAGAGCTTAGGTGTTTCACGTGGTGCACGTGAATTTCACAAATGCAGTTGTGCAGGTTATGGAATGTCCAAGAGATTATATGTTGCCAAGCAGTTTAGAAATGTAGTGCACAAAGGTGGATGGTACCAAGGTACTTAGAACTGAAATTTACTTAAATGGGATCTTTTTCTTAACTGAGCCTGCTGTTAAGCAAACTGTAAAACCTGAATATTTTTTAGAATTTGCAAAGACATTGAGCTGCAAAAAATTAGATGTATGCACAACATTGTGATTAATTGGCATATTATTGAACTGCACTTTATATAACCAAAGCTTAGCTTTCTGTTAGATGAAGCCTGTAATTATAACACCTTATTAGATTTATTTCATTTAATGTAATGTTTCTGAAAGGGTAATGTCAGTTTTTGATGTACTAATCTTAAGACTGCACATACAAAGAAATGGGAGATGGGTGGAGTTAAAATGACTATGGAGGTATTGCCCCAAAACATGTCTGTATTCTTTTGTGTTCTGTGGACATTCATGTCACTCATAGTAATACTCTTATCAGCTGGATCTGATTATAAATTTGCTGCAGCATCACACTGTAAACATTTAAAGGATAGTTTAGTACCTGTAAACTGGTACAGTTATGTTAATGCTGAATAACGATACTTGATTCAACATGCCACATCATGTCATGCATTGATTGCATTTACTTTATTATAAAATAATGAAATATTTAACTTACTTTTTTTTTAGAGCCTGTCATCTTTTGTTTAATGAAAAAGCATGTGGATGATATAAAATCTGTAAACATTATTATATGGTGTTTCATGATTTTTTTTTTGAGCACCAAAACTCAGTTTTCAGATGCCTAAATGCTTGAATTCCTTTTTTTTTTCCCCTGCGTGTGTGCCTTTCTGTGTGTATATATATATATATTTTTCCATAAACATTGGTAATAGTACAATTCAGTAACTCATTTTTGGTGTACACAAAGCACTATTTTTTGTTACATGTTTAAAGGTGCTGCAATGTAATGCTGGTTTTATTTTGTTATTCACTACAGCCCTCAAGAAATCTGATTATTAGTTCACACCCTTTCTTTTATAGTTTGTAATACTTTTGGTAATGTCATGCAGTAGGTTCAACATTAGCTTTTTGTAAAAAAAAAATTAAAAATAAAAAATGGAAGGATAATTTTAAATGGCAGGATTTTTCTTTGCTGGATCAGCCACATTGAACATAAATGTCAAACATTTTCCAGTGGCATGCTGTTACACTTGTCTACTTGACAGCAGAGTGAAACTGCAATTTAACTTACAGAATACAAAGGAAAATAAACAACAGCAAGCTTGCAGGGCAGATACAGCTGTGTTAGTGTTGTAATACAAAAATAAAAAAACCACAACGAGGTCTGTCTTAGTTTTGAGTAAATTATAAAGGCCTTGTTCTTGATGAAATGTGACATTTGGAAAATGATACTGCTTCTGATTGTGGAGCCCTATAATTATTATTATTTCTGCTATTAAATTAAGTGCCATAAGTTTAATAAAGAAAAATGCAAACATATACTTCAGTCCGATGTGTTTTGGTTTGATAATGTAAGCTAACTTTACCTATTATTTGAAGCTTTTCTATCAGTAAATACACAATCTTTTTTTGATTAATTCTAGATAATTGTACAAATATTAAAATACTGTTGAAAAGGAAACTTTTTTTTTTGCATTGACAAATGTTTGCAGTTTTCTCAAAGAAATTGTATATTTTGCTGATTTTTTGCAATAAATAGCATGTAAGGAAAACACGAATCCTGGTGTGCCATGAAATTAATCAGTTTAGTTAATTCCCTGTGTTTTTAAAATAGATTCCTTTGTGGTTCTTGCTTCATGCATTAAGTCAGATGAATAGTATTCAGGGTAAGCAAAATACTTGAAAAGGAAACAGTTCTCATGCTTTTCATTACAAATGGAGCTAAAACATAAGGTCTCATGGCAGCATGCAAAAGTGTAACAGGAGCACCGTGAATAGTTTCCTGTTCTCACATGAGCTCTTGAGGAAGAAAATCTTCTAAATGTATAACTGTGTTTTATAAGCAACTTATGTTGCCTTACCAGTATTATTATTATGAACTGTTAAAATGGCTGTGGAGAACCACCAAACTATTCTGTTGTAATTTTTATTTTGTTTATTGTGTATATACTCTTAAGTGCTGACACTGAGAAAGAAAACGGTCCCAGTTCTTAGTAAGCTAATGGTCTGAAGCAATTTTAACACTGAGCCAAGTTGGGAAAGAAAACTTGAATGACATAGAAAAACTAATTGTGTTGTTCCTGAATTGAAACTAACAATATAATTTGCATATGGCTGCAGAGACACAGGCAAGAGTCATGTCTCAGAAGTCTCCTAGCATCTTATTTGCTTAACTCACAGTAACAGCTAGCCTAAATAAAGAGGCTTTGTGAGACCAGGAAACCACTGACAGAACATGATTTTGTAAGTACCATTTAATTCATGATAAAAAAATCAAATAAATAAATAAAATGCTTAATTGATTCTTTTGGCTCAGCTGGGAGGCTTAGCAATGTGTCTAAGTCAGGTATGGAAGCTTAGAACAGTTAGGATATCATGATTCTGTAGTAGGGGTCTATAGAAGTAAGTGTTAGCATTTAGGTACCACAAAAATACATTTAACAAGTAATTCTGCACATTAAACGAGTTCTTGTTGGAGAAAATTTCTTTTCATTCAGTTCTGTCTCCTACCTTCCACAGGTACCAGCAGTTTATCTAGGAAAAGCAGCTTCAGTTCTTTTTTCCCAAAATTACAGTTGAGGAATTTAACAAAAAGACAGTGGTATATGAAGCTGATTTAACTATACATTGGGCAGCTTAAATCTAAGGAATTGCAGTTGGAATAAGCCTCAATAGGCTTGTAACTATCTTGTGCTTTAAAAGCTTTCCTCTCAAAAAATGGCATTCACAGCTATTCTAAAAAGCACAGGACACTTGCCTCAGCAATTAGTGGCATGAAAAATATCTTTTGTTTGTGAGTTTGTTTTGTTTTGTAAATAGTTTTTTGTGTAGCTGACTACCAGAAGAAAAATAAATGGTTCCTTGTGTAAAAAATGCAGTTTTGCAATATTTGTACTCCAGGCATTATTACTATAGTTACTTTACTGTAATGATTTATGAAACAGGAGTTAAAGTTTACTGTAAGGATTGCATACACCTGGTACTGGTATACTTGGGTTGCTTTAAACAAGGCTGCAATTAAATCTATTGTAATTTTTCCAATTAAAGTAGAGGAGGGTAGTACCACCTTTGAGATTTTCTGCTGCTGGATCTAAACTCTTTGGGAAAGGCTGGATTGGTTTTGGGGAACAAAGGCAGAGCTAAGAGTTCAAAAATAACTAAACCTGACAGACAAAATAAATGTTTTCATCTGAAGAAGACACACATATTTTGTCACATGAAGGGATTTGTCAATGAATTTTTAATCAAAACTGTTTATCTTTGGTTTGTTTTCTGGATGATTAAATCAGCAGCACTGCCATGAGTTCTGTGTTTACTTTCACCTACTCATGTTTAAGACAAAGGAATTCTAGATGTCCAATGAAACCTAATTGTAAAGCATTTTCTAAATTCTGCAAAGTACATTTCTTAGCTGGGACCAAGACTTTTGTTCATATTTTAAAATAAAGTATGCTTTACATTCTTAGTCTTGGAAAAATAATTTTGTTTTAAAAATGAAATAATTCATTTAAGTTGTGTTTAATTTGAATAGAAAAGCAGAAGCAGACTGTTCAAAATGTATAAAGTTTATTCAAGAACTCAGTTTCCAATTCTTGCAATTTCCTTTTGCATAAAGCTATATATAGATAGACAAATGCAACTACTAAAGGACTGTGAAATGGAAAAAAAAGGCTTGTGTTTGGGTAATCACCAGTGAAGTTTTTCTACTATTTTTCCACTGTGTAACAACTGCAACCAGCTGCAAGAAGTGCTGTAAATAATTCTTTTTGAGGGAGTAAATATGCAAACAAATCAGTTCACTATGCTGGTAGTGATTTTTTTCTCTTCATTTGGATGATAATTTTGGAAATAAACTAGAGAACTGCATACTCTCAGTTCCCTGTGCCATAATTTTCTGTTACTCTGTAACTATTTACTGAAGTTTGTTTCAAGTAGAAACAATAATTAAAGTATTACAGAGGGATAGACATCCACATGGAGATATCAGAAATTATAATTTAGTGATGTATTAACTACCTTGAGATTAAAAGTAATTCAGATTAAAAGTAATTCAGATTGTAGCATCAGCTGATTACACTCTGGTAATTTTAGCATAAATTTTGTTTCTCTACTAACCATACCTAAAAGAAAAAAAATAGTGACAAGATCTCACCAGTCATGCTTTAAAAAACGTGCACAACTTCTATACTGGAACAATACTTCTGATATCAGTGTTGTAGCATAATGAAAGGAAGAATTAAATTTAAGCAATGAAAAGGATCACATTGGAGGTTTGGGTGATGGCAGTGTTGAGGGTACAAAAGACTTCTTTAGGTTTTGGTACTACTCAGAGGATTCTGAATGGAACCTGTGGATAGTACCTCAGGAGGATTCTGAGTGCCTCTCCACAGGCACTGAACTGAAGCAAGTCCAGAAGATTTATCTTCACAAGAAAGGTGGTAGTTACTGCAGTGTCTAAATGAAGTGCCATCATGCTTAATAGTGTTACCAGCCAGGGGACTGCACCCCGATTTTCACAGCTCTTTAGGGGTCAGGTTATTCTTGCCCGGAAAGCTTCAGTGCAATCGTCTGCTGTGAATTAACTGGCAAATCACATTTGAAAATGTGTCTCCAAAACAAAAGCTTAAAAATGTATAACTTAAAAAGTGAAGTACTTCTATTGCCAGCCAAAGAAGCAGATCGTAACTATTTTGCAGGATCTGGCTAATATTTAGGGGTTAGATTAGGTGAATGATTTATTTGATACTCCATGGAAATGGGCATATGTTCCTTGATTTCAGAACAGCGACTGAAATTCCTAAGAACTCGAGTCCCAGTTTTCCTGTTAATACTACACCTGTAAGAGATTGGTGACATTGCAGTTCTCTAACTTACTTGTAGCAGCAGGTTTTAGGTATCTGGCACATGCAAGGGTATTTGCTGACCTTTATTTTAGTACTCATACTTTCTATCCAGTGAATAAGCTAAGTCTGCTTGTATTTTGGTTTGTAAAAGCTTGTGCATGGAGCTGGAACCGCCTAAACTGACTTTAAAGGAATTCTGAAGACAGATTTCTGTTAAAGTGTGCCTCAGCTGAGGGCTTAGATGTAGAGACAGTTATAGTCAAGAGATACAGACGTGGAGATAAACATTTCTCTCCTTATGCCCAATAGCCTTGGACTCACTCCTGAAGACAGGAGTGAGTGAGCCTAAGCCTGAGAAAATGGAATTCCAGATATGGAAGATGTATGGCTTCCTACTTCTCCTTTAGGCAGTGTAACAGCAATTGGAGCACTCTCCAGATAACTTGTGAAACCTTGCTTCACTTGCTTAAGCTCACCTTAAGTGTTTCCTACTTGTGCTACTGAAGCTCTTCGAGTTTGCTCTAATTGCTGAGGGCTCCTGCTGCTGCTGGATCCTGCTACTGAAGGGCAGTTTCAGTTCTGTACATCAGACTCTTGGAGAAATTGCAAAGGCAGCCCTCGAGGCAGGGACTGCCCTGGGCTTTACCACAGTGATAGTGGACAATGTCAACAGGGGACTCTTTCTCAGGCTTTTGTGTGTACCTGGGGATCTCATCCAAGTGTTGGTTTTCTTCCTTTGCTCACCAGAGCTAAAGTTTTAAAAAAGTTATTAGTTATTTTGTTCTAATTCTTCTGTTTTAAAGAGGATGATTAATTTTCTTCCAAAAGGTGGATATTCGTGGTTCACTAACACTATGGGTTAAAATCCTTCTGTAAATAGACACCAAGGCACTATGTGATAGCTCCTTCCTGGATAATAAGATCATGAAGTATATACAAAACAGCATCAAAGGAATTAAAAACCCATGTTTAAACAACAGACTACTAAATACAAATCTTGCTACCCAGAGGTGTGCAAACTGTGTTCAGTGCAGTTCTGTACAGGGGAATGGGTCTGCAGTTGTGTTTCTTTACAAGGCCAATAAACGGTTTGTCAGCTCTGGTGAGCATTTATTCATATCCAAAGTCCTAATGTAAAAAATAATAGTTTTACTCTCTCTGTTTGTGATGGAGTCCCACTCTGACGGGATCAGAAATACCAGTCAACATATGCAGCTGGAAATGAAATACTCCTCTTAATTGAAATCTGTGGGCAGCATAAAAGGACTTTTTCCCACTGCCCAAATAGTTCCTTGTGTCAGACAATCTGAAGCCAAATTTTTTTTCCTTTTTACTAGTCCAGCTGGCACAACAGATTGCCTTGTTGAATTAGCATGTCCTAAAATAAAAAAGGATTTAAATGAATATGATGGTACAGGCAGTAGAACAAACAATTGCTATTATAAAATATACTAACATATTTCTCTGTTGTATAGTGAATGGATTTGAGACACAGAGAGGCCTTCATGGCTTCTGGAGCTTTTTGCTTTAGTTATTTTTATATGAATCTCAGTAAGAAGCAAATCAGCATATGTGTTGCCAAATTAAAATAGAAAGCGATTAGCAAATTAACATCTTTTATACAGAACTTATACAAATACCGCACTTTTCTATCTTGTGTTATTGCAAGAACAAAATTGCATAGACCATTTGCTGGCACTTTCTGAATTCTCCAAATAATGCTTTGTCTTACAAATAATTCAAGTAGTTCCCTCAATTTAATTTCACCCACTAATACAGTAAGTGTTTGCATGTAGTGAGAGGAAAAACCCACGATCTCAGAAATGTGAACAATGACATAATCATCTGACTGAATAATAGTTCAGCAAGGAAACATATTTGTTTTATTTTTTTATGCTCTCTGTAAGGCTGTTTTCCAAGTGTTACTGACAAAACATGTAATTTGATTCAAGTCATTCATCTGAAGTGGAAATGTCATTTGTGCTCTTCTTCTTCCCCTTACACCCTGTATTCCAGAATTATAGATGCAGATTTGTTTCCTAAATTGTAAGTACTTTGTTTTTAAAATGCTGAAAAATACGCTTTCATTTCAGTGATGCTCTTCAGGGGTAATACAAAACTCAGATGCGCAAGGGGGTGTGTGGACCTTTCCGGATGCCTCACTGGCAGACTCGGCTGTATTCTTGGCAAGTGGAGCCCACGCCGGCCACTGACAAGTAGAGCTTTCCATCGGGACACACACAGATTTCATAGAGCCCCTGAGAAATCCCGGATCCACCCCTTGCACCCTCAGGCAGCTTGGGCAGTCGCACGGTTTCAGCATCAAGCAAAAGCTGCATGGGAAACAGCAGGACAAATGGGGTTGTTAGAGGTTATAAAGCAATAAATAATGTGCCATGAGATGAGTTGAATTTGGCTAGGCAGAGGTTTAAGAATGGCCTTTTACATAGGACTTGTTATGTACAAAGTTTCTCTGAGCCTTGGGCTCTTGGCAGACATAAACACAGGACAGGAATAAGCTGGTGCCCACCCTCCTCTTAGCAGAGAACTCCTGAGGTTCAACAAGGCCAAGGGCAATGTCCTGCACCTGTGTCGGGGCAATCCCCAAAATGGATACAAGCAGGATGATGAATGGATTGAGAGAAGCCCTGAGGGGAAAGATGTGGGGGTATTGATGGATGAAAACCTATGTGGTATCCAGCTCTGGGGCCCCCAACGTAAGAAAGACATGGGCCTGCTGAAATGAGTTCAGAGGAGGGACACAAAGATGCTCAGGGGGATGGAGCACCTCTCCTATGAGGAAAGGCTGAGAATTGGGATTGTTCAGCATGGAGAAGAGAATGGCTCTGGGGAGACCTCACTGCAGCCTTCAAGTACTTAAAGGGAGCCTACATGAAAGCTGGGGAGGGACCCTTTATCAGGGATCCTGATTTTAAATTAAAAGAAGATAGATTTAGATTTGATTTAAAAAATAATTTCTTTCAGTGGTGAGGCACAGAACAGGCTGCTCAGAGAAATTGTGCATACCCCATCGCTGGAAGTGTTCAAGGCCAGATTGGATTGAGCTCTGAGCGGCCTGGTCTAGTTGAAGGTGTCCCTGTCCATGGCAGGGGAAGTTGGGCTGGATGATCTTTAAAGTTCCTTCCAGCACAGTTCAGTCTTTGATTCTAGGCTAGGTGGCCATGCACAGAGCAGCAGGACACAAGCACTGCTGCTGGACCCAGGTCTGTCCTGAGTGTGGAGGCCACACCATGGAGCCAGCTGGAGGATGGATGTGGGTTGATGTGGAGTGCCTCCAGAAGAACTGTCATAGCACAGCCTTGCAGAGGGGAAAAACAGGCCACTGCATGTTGCCTGCTGTTAATGATGTCTGTAGAGCTTCACTTCTTAATTTTGCCACTTGGGGGCTGCATCTGCTTCTGAGCCAAGGTTCTCCACAGGGGTGCCTGGGAACCACTGTGCTAATGGGGAGCTAAGCAGTATCCAAGTTTTATTAGAAAGCATTTCTCTAAGCTAATACAACTTCATGTCTGTTGGTAGTATTATTTACATATATAAGAGTTTTATTATTGGCACTATAAATTTTTATATACTGCCATCTAAAACCTGAATTAAATTAACAGAGCTTGAAAAAAAGACTTGTAGTCATACGGAGGATCAATCACAGTTAGGAAAAGAAGGGCTTGCACTCACCACGCCATCACTGCTGTGTAGTTTGATATCCATCTGGGAAAGAGCTTCAATATTCCCAGCTTGTGCTTTGATATTAATTCCTCGTGGTGCATCCATGCTCAAAGATCGAGTTGGTGATTCCAGCCTAAAAGCAGGAGCAGGAAATCGGACAGTAGCACAACCTCATATGTTCCTTTATTTTAGAAAAATAAGTAAATATTGAAAAAGCCCTTGCAGGCTCTTGCCTGAAATAATAGAAAATATGCAACTTCCCTTTTCTTTAGGCAGACTTGAAAAAGGAGGCAGCTATTTCAGAAACCAACAAAGCATCCCAAATGAAAAGTATAGATTAATTTCTAATACAAATCCAAGGTATTATTTCATACATAGCTGCAGATTATTTCAGTATTACAGTAACTTAATCTATTAACCTGAAACCCAGATTTACACTAGTTAGTTTCAGTTTGTTTTCATTTTTGACATAATAAGACATGGAAATAAATGCAATTAATACAGTCTGGAACTTTTTTTTAATCAATGAGATTTTTGACACTGTAATTAATTGGACCAAGATTTCACTGTGCGTATGTGTTTGTCTGTGCGTGTGTGTGTGTTGTTTAACTAGATGACATCTGAAACTTAAAAACTGTTAATTTGAAATAAAAATGATACAGTGTAACAAAGAGGGAGTTGCAAACCCTGCAGTGCCACAAGATGGCAGAAAGGCACTGTATTATCTGAGTAATCTCCTTGTCAGATCAGCTGTGCAGGAATAATGATTTTTATTTTTCAAAGAGATAAGGCTATGTTTCTTCAGAATTTTGGTGTCATTTCCATGCTAAGTAGCAGGGATAGAAGTACTAACTAAAAATCACAAGAAGGAAAGAAAAACACCAATCCTGGCAACAAGTTAGTGATTATATTGCTTCTTTTGACCATTACTTAGGTTTTTATCATGAATATACACTCACCCTTCCTGATGACACTAGCCAGCACTAAACAGGTGAATATGAAGGCTAGAGAAAGGGAGACAACTGGTGGTCCCTGTTTACATCTCTGCTAGCTTTCCTATTCCCTGGACACATACCAAAGAATGTGGGTTGCATCCACACTGCAGAACACGGACACACTTGTTCCCAAGCCTGCATGCTCTCACCCACTGTTTTCTGTATGTAAATGAAGAAATGTAGGGGGCTGTGTGTGTGTGTGTGTGTGCATGCACTCCCAGCAGGTGCTGTTGTCTCCACGGGTGTTCCACAGCTGCCAGTCTGGCTGAGTGGAAGCTGGGCCCAAGCAGGTTCTTCACTGGGAATGCATTCTGTAGTGAGTCGACTCTGACTGCCAGTCATTGACAGGAACTAGCTGCCTAATTTACTGAGACTCTCAATTCTTCCTTTTCTTTTCATTTTCTTGTTACTTCATTAAAACCAGAATATAAAAAAAAGAGTTTGTTCTTGTGAGAAAGTTCAGTTGTACCTTTGAATTCTGAAGAAGTTAAATCCAGCTGATAACTTAAAACCTAAATCCATGATATCTAAGCACAGTCACTGAAACTTCATTTTTTATCCTCAAATCTGAAAATAGCTCAAGCAATATTGGCTTATCACTGCTGGCCAGAGTTAGCAGAAGATTCTGTCTTCTCTGATCTTCAAAGGTCCCTTCCAACCCAAACCATTCTATGACTTTATGTTTCTATGATCTGCCTTTCTGTGACACCTCCTGAGTTCATCACCTTCAATTAGTTTAAACTCCAGCCTGATAAATAGAATAGAATAAAATAAAATAGAATAAAATAAAATAAAATAAAATAAAATAAAATAAAATAAAATAAAATACTAACAATGGGTAAATGCATCATGATTCCACATTGAGACCATATCCAAAAAATAATTTCATACTTCATTCCATGAGTCCGAGATAGTACAAACTTCTGTCATGATCATGCTGTGTAGCAGGGCATGAGTATGAGTTTGTTCTGCATCAGACAACCAGTATAATATTAGTAATCTTTATTAAGCAGTGTTTGGAATTTAACAACTTTTGTATGAATTTTTGCTTTAGATCTCTAGATTTATACTCTATGAAATAAAAAACCAGTTCTTCCAAACGTGATTAATGTGGGTGATCTGCTTCATGGGAATATTTTACAGCACACATTTGTATGCATTATATACTGAAAAGTTAAACACAGTTTGTATTTTCAATTTTTTAAATTTAATATATTTTCATAAGTTAGTGTCAAGATTGTAAAGTATTTCACCTACATAAGCAAACTATATATGTAGGTATAAATTTTTATTTTTAAACTCCATTGAATATTAGAAGACAGAAGACTGGGACAAATTTCTGAGAGTATATCAGACCTGGAATTTAAAAAGCAATCAAACACAAGAGAAATATTTCTTACTTTCTACAAAAATTAATGCTGGCACGAAGCCTACAGACTTCGGAAGCACTTAGATTTATGATATGACATACACATAATTTAAATTACATTGCAGAATTACATTTGCTATATTAATCACAAACCTAAATTTCTGCTGTTTATACAGGTCCTATTTCTAGATTAACTCAGCCTGGATTTGCCTAATTAAGCACGTCATTGAAGCTTCCTGGCAATGCAAACTGCCGTGAATCAGTGATGTGAACTGTAATATATGAGATTCTAGCAAAGGCAAGAGTCAATAACAGTAATGACGCATTTCTCCGTACAGTATTCAAAGGTTCGGTGTCTGAAGCCCAGATGTACTCAAAGGGAAATGGGCACCTAGTATAGAAAGAGCCTGAGTTGAACCTTGACTTTGAATGTCCCTTCTCGGTCCCCACATTGATGTGCATCCCTCATTATCAGGTGTCCTGGCAAAACAAGAATTCAGTTTGTTTGCGAATGATGGTAGGGTGCTTGGAGAGTAAGAGGGAAGAAATTAATTAATTGTCTTAAGAGTTTTTGGTCACTTTATAGTGTTTGAATTTATGCATTAGAATGATGACAGAATATATTGTTACCAGTCACTTTATATTTTTTTTAAACTTACAGACACATAAATTATATTTAAGAGGATAAAGTGAATGATCTTTACCATCTAGGGCAATTAATCTCTGTAATGTGCTGTCCTAAATGTGACATCTGTCACAGCCTCTATTTCACTTGAGAAGATGGATTCTGTACTTATGAGTAGCTTCTAGGTACTGTGGTAGCTGCCAGGGTCAATTAGTAAGGGGTGTGGTGCAAGAGAAATTGATCTGGACAGCACAACATTTGATGCCAAGGACCTGACAGCCCATTATGTGTCCTGAGGAGTACTCTGGACTAGCTGTTGCCAACTGGATGCCCAGAAAGGCTGGAACAACAACAGGTGTTCTCCGAGAGATCACAGCTTTCAGATCAGTTTAACACAAATGTCACCCTGTCCATGTACCCCAAACTGCACAAAAACTCCACAATGAAAACCAAGAAGAGGAGAGCTCAGCCCACTGTGAGATTTCCCTCAAAAACATGTTCCTAATTAATGTTTGAATTAAGACACTCAAGTAGACATACCCACAGATTGTAAGGCAATGAAAGCCGCAGCTGGGCCCACTTGTGGAATAGTTACTTTGCCTTGCTCCCCTTCACCGTGATGCCTGCAGCCTGAGAAACTGCACCATGTCAGCTCATGACAGCCAGGGAAGGGTGGGGGAACAGGTGGTCCCTGGTAATACTTTACAGCTGTCATTTGCTGGATATTGGTTCTCCACGGCCCATTGCAACTAAAGCAATCGATTACAGCAAAGATAACATTTTCATTGCTGTCTTCTTATTTGTTGGTAAGAGTTCCAGGAGTCAACTATACTGTCTTGTCTGGCTGCCAAAGAAATTTGGTGCTGAGCTGTGCTAAATAATTCATGAAGTGTGAAAAATATTCTGAGGGAACCTCAACAGTATTCAGGCTCTGGATCTGAAACCATCCCAACAACCTAAAAGCTTGGAGATTTTCCTTTTCCTATAAGCATGTTGCTAACTTGTGGAGATGCCAGATCACCAGAAGTTGCTCATTTGGCTGTTAGGGAGGATGTGAGGGCAGTGACAGCCTGCAGCAGTTCTGGTAAAGAAGCAGATGACACTGCCTGTGCATGCTGCAGTAATATTGATCTCCTTTTTCATCCTGGCAGGAGCCAGAAGGATACCTTACAGATCTTGTAAGTACCACAAGGCATTAGAAAGCTGGTTCCAGCACTGAAGAAAGAGTATCACAAGTTTCCTACTGCAGTTTGTGGTTGCTTGACCCTTAGAGTAGGACAGAGGAACCAGCTTGCTCCAGAGTAATTGTTTACCCTTTCCTTCTGACCTTTTCAGATCATGAGTCATCGTCTTTCCTGAATTCAAGGGGAAGAGAATTCCATGGTATGACCTTAGACACAAGTTGCCCATCTGTATGCATTCTTTCCAGCACCTATCTGAGGAAGATCAGGGTTACTTTAGCTAGACTGAACAGGTCCAGAATCAACACTACCTCTAATATTGTAGTGCACCCAACAACTGTGCTAAAAGTGTCCAAGGTCAGGATGGACAGGACCTTGAGCAACGTGGTCTTGTGGAAGGTGTACCTGCTCATGACAGGAGGTTGGAACTAGATGACCTTTAAGGACCCTTGCAACCCAAACCATTTTGTGATTCTATAATCAAAACATCTTTTTCACATCATCAGGTAAGGAAGAGACCCTTATATATCTTTGGTGTGCAAAAAAAAATCCTGACATGAACATCTGCTCCAAAGTTCATCTGACTTTGTGAAGGTCAAAGGGGAAAAGAAATTAAATTTTACAATGACTGGAGTTATGGAGCAAAGGATGAATAGAAAAGGCAAGAAATGAAGAGGAAAACAAAACCAAACACATGACGGAAAAAGGGGAAAAAAGAAAATCTTTAACCTGTCAAGGTACTAATGTTTTGAAAGGCAACAAAAGTAACCTAGAGGATTCTGTAGGCTTAATTTGCCTTGGTTCTCTGTAGATGTAGATGCTTTGAGCCCTGCTTTTTGAATGCTTTTTGAAGTTAACCTTTAAAAGGCAATAGGAGTATATTGACTTTTTGATTAGTCTGAAAATGGTCTAATTCCCCAGCCATGCAGCTAGACATTGTAAGAGAGTAAGCCATAAGCAAAG